GACACTTGTTGTTCATGGCAAGATAAAACGATAGGTAAACAATTCTTGAATTCTACCTTTTTTTGTCACTGAGTATAGTTTTGAAATGCATATGGGACAACACAGTCCTCAATTTATACTAAGTGACATATAAATACGAACACCCAGTTTAAATGGTTTTATTTTAATAAAATTTTGTATAAGTACTTAATGAACCATAATAAGTGAATGATAAAAATTTCAAAATGATTGCACTGCTTTAAAGCCCTTTGACCTTTAATAATGTGTTGATGCACCCTGATGTGCTACGCATTCTCCAACGCGCATAGGCATGCTTCTGATCAGGTGGTCAATGTCCTCCTGTGGTATCTCATTCTAGGCAACCACCAACTCCTCTCGAAGTGCTTCTAGAGTCTAAGGAGGACGTTGCAAATTGAGCAATCTCCTACCCATCATATCCCACACGTGCTCAATTGGGGATAAGTCGGGAGATCTTGGTGGCCATGGTAACAATGTGACATCATTATGTTGAAAGAAATCTATTGTGACTCTTGCATCATGTGGTCGGGCATTATCTTGTTGGAAAGTTGGATCTGCCAGGGTGTCAAGATAGGGTAAAATATGGGGTTCTAGAACTTCGTGGATATAATGCTGCGCGTTCATGTTACCTCTGATGAAGATTAAAGGTGACCTGGAACCATAAGCTATAGCACCCCAAACCATAACTCCAACAGTGTGATGAACATGTGTTTCAACAAAAAACTGTGAATTCCTCCTTTCACCACGTCGCCTTCTAACCCTGGCACGACCATCGTGCATGCCTAAACAAAATCGAGACTCGTCACTAAAGACAATACTGTTCCATTCCTGATCCCAGAGTGACCGTTGTCTGCACCACTCAAGGCTTACGTCGGTGTTCTCGAGTTAAAGGGAGGACCCAGTGTGGCCGGTATGAAAACAAGTCAAAACTTCTCATTCGTCGGTAAACACTTCGCATGCCAATAGGTCTTCCGTGTTCTGCAAACTATTCATTTGCAATGGACCTGGTAGTGGATAAACGGTCCCTTAAGGCCAGTAATCTTAGGCGGCGATCTTCACGGTCTGTTGTTCTACGGCGGCGTCCAGTGCCCCTTGCTCTTTGCGTACGGCCTTCTCGAAGCCATGCCTGACAACACCTAACCACAGTGTCTACACTTCTTTGCACTCTAACTGCAATTGCCCGAAAAGAAAGTCAAGCTTCCCGAAGTCCCACTATATGGCCCCTATCAAACTCACCTCACTAAGTTGACGAAATCGTACAGGTCTCCATACTCTAGGCATCGTAACCGATCGTAAAGGATGTCAAGAACCAAAAAGCAGTATAAAAACCGGAATGTCCAACTGATAAGGCTGAAAATTTTTTCACTTGTTATTTACAGTAAGATAAATACATTCACCAACTTTTATTAAAATAAAACCATTTAAACTGGGTGTTCGGATTTATATGTCACTTAGTATATAATTATAACGTTATAATTATAATATTTTAAAAAAACAATACATTAATTGACAAATGTTTACGTAAGCATTGGGGAAGGGGGTAAGAGCTTTGCTTACTTTTGCTGACAATTGTAATAAATCTGCTTACGTAATACTTGAACGGCCCCTAGGCCACGTAATTTTTCACACCCCGGTAGAGCTATTTCGTCAAAAAACTGACATATGCCATACCTCTGCGGGGCTTTGAATAAAAAAAACATTTCTACCATAAAAATCCACTTCACTACCAATGAATAACATACTGTGATGTACGTAACCCTGATTTAGATTTATTATAGGGTTGTTATATGACGAGCTCCGCCGCTAGGCGAGCAGCACTAAGCCATACCGTAGAGTAGATGAATCATCCGCATCTCAACCGTCTCTCCATATTCCCAATTATACTTTATCCAGTGTTTATTTTAGTTTAGGCAAACCATACGTCCAAATGTTCATTTTATGGGCCATAACTCATTTTACTATTCGACTTAATTCAGGAGCGAACGTCATAACTTGGGAATCCCGAACGTAACAATAGCTTTTGTTTTTCTAAAGGCTCGAATAGATGAGCGATTGTTGACTTATAGCGGTAATTACTCGCTGAGTTCTGGTGTTTTGAATCAAGATGTTCGAAACATCTCATGAAAAATAATAAATTAGAATTGTATGTTATTGTACCGGCATTGTTGCTTTAATATTGCAAAATGACGTAACATATTAGTTTCCCTGAAAAAAAATTAAATTAAATTATAATATACTTCAATTTTTCATAATCTGTATTCAAATGATTTTAGTGTTTAGTATCGAAGAAAAAGGTCTAGATAAAACGTGAAAAATTCATGAATTGAAAATTCGAAGGACATCAAAATTTTTGCAAAACATATTTTCAAGATGTTCACATTTTTTGTTGATATAGTAGAAAAAGTTAATTTGGGAAAATTATTCCTGTATGAAAATAGGGTTCTTCGTTTGAAAATTAACATTTTATTATGTAAAGTTAACTAGTTGGTTTTAAATAAAATAATTTTTATCTTCTGGCGCGCACTATATGCACTGCATTAAATGGTGATCGCGGCAATCGACATTTTGAGCAAATATAATTTATTTTTATCTCCTAGTTAATCAATGGACCTTACATATAAGATGCTACCTTAGTTGACAATGCATTAGCGAAAAAAAAGTATTCTGGAAGGAGATAATTTGTCCATTATCTTATCAGCAAATGATAAAGCTAAATCTAGTAGACTAAACGCTTTCTTAGAATAAAACGTGCAGAAAAATTCCATTATTTTGTGGAAACCATTGACAACCGACACCCAAGTGAATTAACTACATTGTGAGCACGTTTGTTATTCCAAAATCACATGAACCAATCCCGTTCCAAGAATAACAAGTAATTCGCGAAAAATAGCTTGTTACCCAACACGAACTGGTGCATTGTTACATTGTATAATAACTCTTAAACGTTCTTAGTGTTATAGATTTTTGTATTTTCGGATAATCTCTTCTAAAAATAAACCGAAATTGTTGCGTTATTTCTTTAACGCACGATTCCCCGTTTATTCAGGTAGCTTTGGGCATATTAATGGTCTTTTTGAGAATTGGTAATTTTGAATATGACACCGTTCAGAAAGATGGTCGAGTAAATATTCTGACAAAAGTTCGCAGAAAATCTCGTCTGTTGTCTGGCAATTAGTATTGCTCATCTATAATTTATAAAGTAAGACTAGGCATTTGATAAAATTTGACGCGCGACAAGGGTTTCAGAATTCTGGACGTAACATTAAATACAGGGTGTCCGCAAAGTTGGGGTTTTCCTTTACACGACGTGTAGATCTTGAAAACATAAGCAATGTTTCTTAGTACCATATACACCAATGTCTTAAGGGAACCGAGATAAAGGGCTCTGCAACATCAAAAATATCTGAATACCGTCCTGTAGCCGCGACCCGCGACATCCCCGAGTGGTACTAGGACACTAGCTCAACCCGACGACAGAACTGGGTCGGGGTCAGTGTGTCAGGTCAGTATGCAACCTTCAACCGACGGTTACGGTCACGCGTGTAGAGGTAAACGAACCCGTATAATCGATTGCATTTCAAAAAAAAAATAATAATGGCACACAGGCACACTCATACACCAATAATGAACTCGTTGATATGTTGTTAATTTATGGCGAATGTCTTCAAAATGCTACACAGGCGTCGCGAGTCTATGCAGATCGTTTCCCTAGACGACATCATCCAAGGCCCCGCAGATTTGTGTACCTGGTCCAGAGAGTCAGGGATACGGGCGATTTGGAGGAATTTCGAGGTGGGCACAGTGGGGGGCCTAGACAACCACGAATGGTGCAAGTTGAGGAAGAACTACTGAATCGCGTAGACGAGAATCCCTCAACAAGCACTAGAGACGTGGCTAGTATCAAAAACTAAAGTGTGGCAAACGCTGCGTGAAGAGGGGCTGTATCCGTTTCACGTCCAACGTGTACAAGCCCTTCAACCTGACGATTTTCCAGCAAGAGTGCGGTTTTGTGAGTGGTTGTTGCATCAACATGACAATAATCCGGACTTTTTGAAGTGCATATTGGTGACAGACGAATCTACGTTCACGCGTAATGGGGTGAATAACTTTCGCAACACTCATGTTTGGTCAGTAGAAAATCCGCACGCTGCCCGTCGGGCACATTTTCAACAAACATTTTCGGTTAATGTTTGGGCTGGCATGGTGAACGGTATGCTCATTGGACCATTTATTCTCCCAAATCGATTGGACGGGATGCAATACCTAGACTTTTTACGCAACATTTTGCCTTCCTTGTTAGAATATGTGCCATTAAGTGTAAGACAATCAATGTGGTTTCTGCACGATGGTGCACCGCCCCATTTTAGACGCGAAGTGCGTGAGTTTTTGAATGAATTATTTCCGAATAGGTGGATCGGACGTAATGGACCCGTAGCGTGGCCTCCGCGATCTCCAGACTTAACACCATGTGATGTTTTTCTTTGGGGAGAAATGAAACGCTTAGTGTACAAAACTGAAGTGCATACGGTTGACGAACTGAACAAGCTGGTGCTTTCATTCGGGGGAGGGACTCCATTCTCAAAGCCTGCACCGATGCTTGGCTACGTCGTGCACGCACCTGTGTTTTTGAATCAAACGGCGGTAACTTCGAACAATACCTATAAAGTATATTTACCTAAAAACTGAAAACGCGGCAACGCCGTCTTATTTGTTACCTCTGTTCGTGGTCTGCACCACCGCCGCCGTCTGCTCGGTAGCGCATCAGCTGATTTCATTTTCTGTTAGAGCGGTATGATTTCGAGCAGAGACGTACTTAGCCCTTCTGCTCAACTGGAGAGTGAGTACTTTTTCCTTTATTTTTTTTTACTTGGTCGCCCTCGTTTCACTACACATTACCTTTGTTATTTCAAGGGTAGTTGTTTCTGAAAAGGAAAACCCCAACTTTGCTTACACCCTGTATATTGTCGATTCTTTTGTTACAGAGTTCCGGTCCGCAAGGCGGCACAAACCAATCCCAGTACTACACGTCGACGGGTGGAGGCGGTGCCTTTTCCCCAGGTCCGCCTAACTCCGGCCAGCCCCCCCACTTTCACGGCGGCATGCCCCCTCCCGGCGGTGGGGGAACGCCCACCGGCGGTGGGGGGGTGCACAGTCCGACGCATCATGGCCACTCGCCGCCCCCACCACCACCGCAACAGACGATCGTCATTGGCGCACATCCCCAGACACAACAGGTAAGATCAAAAATATAGATGACGGTGAATGAAGTCCGATACTAGTTTTGTTATTGACTTGTGAAAATTAACTGAGGGTTTTTTGAAATTACTGTTGTTTATTTACTATAAGACAGACGGTTGTCATTGGCGCAGACACAACAGGTAAAATATATCGAAGAAAAATTTAGATGAAGGTGCCTAAATTCTGATCCTGGTTTTGTAACTATCTTGCTGTGAAAATTGATTATGTTTTAAAATTATAGTTGATAATGTCTTATTTTGCTTACTATAAAAAACCTTACATACCCATGATTTGAAAAATAGGTGCTAGTAAAAATGTCAATCGTCAACTCTGTGGTTAATTTTTTCTAATTATATAAAAGCTCAGGCTTTTGTTTACAAATGAGACTAGACTAATTTGACCATAGCCTCAATTTTGATTGCGATTTTAATGGCATTTCCTTCACAGACTCGTATCTACAATTTTACGTAAAAACGTTTGCCACAGAATTGAGCTTTTACGATCATATTTATACGCCCGTTGGAATTTTCTCTCATGGGTCGAAGGAAGGTCATTTAATTTTTTGTAATATGTGTTCGTTTGTTCGTAGATAACTTTTTTCCCAGAAGACCTACTTTTTAATGAGTTGATGACAGCGTTTCATAGGAAGAGTCAACCTACTTAACGCCGTTTTTTCGTTTCAGGTGCCACCGCCTGCCTATTTTAGGGATGAAAGAACTCATCGGCAGCATATCAAGTTAAGAAGGAAACTGAACGAAAAGCAGAAAAATAATAACAGCACCGAGGTTAGTAATGATATTATTTTGTTTTCAATAATTCAATATATAGGGGGTTCCAAAAGTCGTGGAGCAAACTAACGGGTCATTTACAATCAAAATAACCATATACCGGTTGTGTGTTCAGGAATTTGTGGAAAATCGCTACTATTCAGACTGTACTATTTTTTTCAGTAGAATTCATTCGGGTTTCAAAATTTATTGTCAAATAAAGGTCATCCTATTTGGCAGGAAGAAGAGCAATGGCAGTTAAAGGGTTAAGTTTAAAAAATGTGAATTTCCGGATATAGGGCACCTGCAGCATTTTGTTTACTTTGCACAGAAACTATTTAGGATATTTGATTAGCTAATAGGAATTTTGAAGGGACATAGTATCGAGAAGTTTTTCCTCACTATGGACATTTATACGCAGTAATTTTTTTGATAGTAGGCAAAATTGCAGATTGGTCGATTGCTGTACCTGCATTGACTGGACTAAATTTTCACTCGTAACTTTGACTCAGCGACACAATTTGGGAACAAATCCTGTCAATCTGATCAAAAAATAACCAGAAATTTTCTGAAAAAAAAAATAGTACAGTCTCAAAATATCATATATGTATTTTTTTATTGCGAATGACCACTCCCTATCACCCCCTTTCGCTTGCTCCAAGAAAACATAACTTTGACAAACTATCTTCCAAAAAACGTCAAGTTGGTATCAAGGCCTCCTATTTTATTTTGAAACTAATTGTATCTCGGCTCTTCGTGAATGATGCAATTTTTTTTATTTTTATTTTTACGAAAACAGTGCACTCTAGGAAAAAACACAAGAGTAATTATTACTATTTTTATTTGGAAAAATAATGCCACTGATGTGAATGTGAACAATACTTAGGTAAATCCACATACCAAATTTTAGTTCATCCAAGTTGACCGTTTTGAAGATATTAAAAAACTTGTTTTTTATTTTTAAACTTCAACACCCTCGATGAAAAAATGTTAAATGCGATCCTGTGTATGATGTTTCATTTTTGGTCACGACTTGCGAATCACCCTGTGTAAATGTATTCAGGAACTGAACTCTGCAAAAAAAAAATGTTAAACGGAATTTTTCGTTCCAGAAATCGGACGCAATCCTGAGGAAAGAATTCGTGAACGGCCTGAAACGCGGCAACGAAGGCAAGGAAAAAGGAATGAACAGCGTAGGAACCAGTGAAGATGGCGAAGAAAGCAGTGTTCCAGATGAAGAAGACCCGTACCCTGCTGTCATAGACGTATTATCTTCCGTCCAGGCGCCTAAGGTAAACTTAGATATTTTAAAAGTCAAGTTGTGATGCGTTTTTTTTTCTCTATAGTCATTTTATCGTAAACCGCGATTCCTGTTCTACCTGAATGCCTTTTTAATTAGATATCTTCAGGTGAAATATGTCTAAAGATGCTCAATTAAAATGGGCATTAGAGAAGCGCCAAAGGTGGAATGACGATCGTAGCGCCATCTAAGAGACAGTAGCAGAAGCCAAAAGTCAGATTTATAGACTTTTCTTGAAGCTTCCCTGGAAACAATGAAACGAGACGTTTCCTTGAGGAACGTTCGAGGAAGGATTTAAATTTTCATTTCGCAGTAGACTGCAACATTTATCACAAGCTGTCAGAAAGATTTTTTCTTTGCTGGCATTTTGATGATAAAATTGGGACAGTTTGGTTTATTTGTACTAAATATCAATAAACAAAGCAAAATAATATTGTGTTCGCTTCCTCGAGTTACATCGCAATCACAGAAAAGTAAAAAACTGAATATAGGCAACCAGTTGCACCGAACTGCTTTGCTGGTTGTAGATTGTAGATTATGTTAGATTCAACTACGACTAATTTTATACCGAAATTTTATATTATTATAAATTGTGTTAGCAGCAGTTATCACAAGCTGTCAGAAAGATTTTTCTTTGCTGGCATTTTGATGATAAAATTGGGACAATTTGGTTTATTTGTACTAAATATCAATAAACAAAGCAAAATAATATTGTGTTTGCTTCCTTGAGTTACATCCCGCAATCGCAAAAAAGTAAAATACCGGATATAGGCAACCAGTTGCACCGAACTGCTTTGGTGGTTGCAGTTTGTAGATTGTCAGATTCAACTACGACTAATTTTATACCGAAATTTTATATTATTATAAATTGTGTGCGACTTTGGAAAAAAGACATACATCCAGATGATAATATAAGAATAAAAGCAGATAAACAGCAGAGCAGTTCTGTGTAACTGGTTGCCTATATTCAGTTTTTTTACTCTGATTGTAACATAAGGAAACAAACATTATTATTTTGCATTGTTTATTGGTATTTAGCACAAAATGCTGAATAGAAGCAGCAAACAAAGGAAAATTTTTTTGGCATCGATGACAGCTTGTAATGACAACTTTTAAGAGCCTACCGTGAATAGGAAATTATCGTTATAAATAATTATTTTTGCTCCGAATAATATTGAAAAATATTCTTCGTGGTTTTAGTTTATTTATATAATTAATTTTGTTGAATGTAATTGTATCACTATTAAATTGAATTATCAGATGTTGAAAATAATTACTTCTGTATTTATGTAAATTTCAATATGAATAAATTCATTATACAGGGTGATTCACAAGTCGTGACAAAAAATGAAACGTCATATACAGGACCACATTTTAAGGGGGGTCTTCTATATAACATTTTTTCCTCGGGGACTTCAAAAAGATACGGGGAGTTGAAGTTTAAAAATAAAAAACAATTTTTTTTAATATCTTCGAAACCGTCAAGTGGAATGAACTAAAATTTGGTATGTGTATTTACCTAAGTATTGTCCACATTTAATACTTAAAATTTACGTGCACTAGTGGCGGAGATACAGGGGATTAGTGGCATTATGTTTCCAATTAATACTCTTGTGCTTTTTCTTAGAGTGCACTCTTTTCGTACAAATAAAAATAAATTTCTACATGTATACATTCTACATTGCTGCATTTTTACTTTAAAGGAATGATATAAATAGATTATGAAAACCACGAAATAAGTCAGTAAATTTGTTTTTGCAGAGTATGAAGGCAGCAAATCACATACTACTGCCTTTTGATTTTCGACAATTAAGGACCTCGACAACAATTATGATCCAAACCCACATTTCAACGACTCTCTATAAGTTCATGTAACTTTGCAATATTAATTCACGTTTATTGTGTCGTTATTCAGTTCGAAAAAAATGCAGAACTTTGAACTCAATGTTCTCAGATTTCATTTTCACACTTTACTGCCTCTTAAGAAAAGAAATAATAAAATTGTTAAGCAGATAGAACAATGACAATATCGATGCATGTACAAATACAACAGTCACTAACCGTATGTAGCAAAAGGTCACTCGTAACCACCTACGCGCTATGTCAGCATGAGTGTTTTCTGTATTATGAGTCACTATTCGTTAATTGAATGATAATTACCCCGTACAGAATCTACGCACGGCGGCCAGTGTGTCATATCATAACGTTTTCCAAACTATTTTCATACCAAGGACGCTGCATCTTAATGTCATAACAGTATTCCAGCTGCTTGCCTTCCTTATTGTGCCACGATCGATGTTCGTCATGTGGAAAATATTTACGAGAAGTGATCTATGATGCATCTCAAGATATGAGCTTCAACCTTATATCTCGACATTCAGTGTTTGAAGATTATTTTTTCGAAAAAGATTCTGAATCAATGTTTCATTATAATTGGAGAGCAATTATCATCATTCCCATTAAAATTGAGTTCAACATTCTAACATTCCTCAGGTGTTCCAGGGGAGACTCTTTATAATCAAGGGTGAGAAGGGTAACGACTCAGACAAATAAATACCGCGATTGTCTTATGAGACACTGAACTTAAATATAAAAATTCATAGCCGGCTTCTGGCGCAGTCGACCGCTGCTTGCTGGCCCTGGTTTTTTAGTCCTCCGTTCTACCTTCTTGTCCCACGTGCAATGTTGACCGCGCACTGTTGCCGCTACCACCTATTTTTCCCTAACTTCACTACTCACTTAAACCTAGCCTGTTACAACATTCTGAGCTACACTAGCGGGCTAAACTGTGGAAACAAATATTAACATTATTATGAACTATTTCATATACCTCAATTGAAATTGTGAAGGAACAGCTAATATAAATATTAAAGTCTACCTTTGTCTCCCGTACTAATACAAGGTTTATCTTATCAATATTCAAATTCTCTAAATTTATTTTTGTTCTGCTATTGTCTCAGAGATGGCGATAGGATCTCTCAGATCCCTTCTTGGTCGCCGAAATAAAATATATGGTTGTCTATCTTTAGGTAGAATAGCGTGGCATGTACCTCGTGCCTACCTCACTGTAACTTTTTCTCTCCGTTCTTGTATCTTCCAGGTGTCTGAACTGACCTCACGTAGTGCCTTACTGCAATGGGCCCCACCCATTCGCCTGTCAGAAACGGCAAGCAGCGACAGTCACGATCACCTGGACATCCAGGAGTCGGACCTCAGGTATGAGGTCTTGCTGAGCGACAAGAGCAAAGAGATGAAGTTCAAGTCCATATACAGCGGCACATCGCTCAGCTGCAGGATACAGGATCTGAAGCCCGGACAGGAGTACGCCGTTTGCTTACAGGTAAGGGAGACTGGGACTAAGAAATTAAGCATTTTCACATGTAAAAAAGTCTGAGAGTTCAAATTTATTGCAAAATAAATGAGGATTTCAAACTGATTTTTTTTTAAAGCAATGGTGTACTATCTTTTTCGTCAGTATACATCCCGTACGGACGCCACTGGTAGAAATATTAAAAAATATTCTACGTCAAAAAATGTCTATTGGTGTTTAGTAGGTGCTTGTCAAATTTCATGAAAATATCTGGAATAATATTAAAGTGATGATGAGAAAAAGAATTTTTTACTAAAATTTTAACACTCTGTTGCTCAAAAGGTAAGAGGCTTAGGACATATGTTTATATAAACTTTTCTTCCCAAAATGAGCTAAGGAATCATATCCTGTATTTTTCGCCATCAGAAATCGGTAAATAACAACAATATACATTACTAAAAAAAAGCAAGAAAAAATCCAAATTTTTCTGTGATTTTTGGCAGGTTGTATTTCGGTGAAAAATGGACTTATAAGGATTTAAAAAAAAAGCATTTTGAAGCTTAAGGATTCTAGTTTTCTGTTTTTTTAGCCGTAAAATTTTAGCAGCAACGATTCTCATGCAATTCTAACAGATAGCGCGAGGAATATTTTTATGCAGAATTTTTGCCATCTTTTTAGTCCACGGTTTGAAAACTTTTCTCTATTAGGCCATTAAATATATCAGATAGCTCGAGGAAGTGAATAATAAAATATTTTTTCGATCTGACCATTCTCTCTTACTTTGCAGGTCCACCTAGACAAGCTGCAAGGCTTCGCGACGGACCCGGTCCGTTTTTCGACTCCCCCTTGCGAGCCAGATCAACCTCAACCGCCGAAAATCCTGCACCGCACCAAAAACAGCCTCCAATTACGATGGAACGCGGTCAACGACAATGGCGCTCCAGTGTTGCACTACGTGCTAGAGTACAGCGATAACAGCAAAGTGGGCGGAGCAAACGGCGTAGAGTGGGTGGAGTTCTACAGGGGGCGGGGCAAGATGCACACGCTGCAGAAACTGCAACCCGCTACTGCGTACACCTTCAGGATGGCTGTGGTTAACGAGGTAAGGGAATGGTTGCCGTTTTGTTTGATTTGTTTAGTTGTTTGTGCTACTTTAGTTCCGATTTTTTTCTACTGTACCCTCAACAAGATCCATAGGTTTTTTTTAAGTTTTTCAAACTACTATTCATTTTATCTCGGATGATTCTTCGGACTCGCGAATGAGTTGGTTACTTTCTGGCAGAATGTTATCAATCTTTATTTTTGAGTTAGCAATTTCCATTTTCGAATAATTTTCTTGCAGGTCGGCATGAGCCTGTACAGTGATTGCGTGACGTACGCGACGTTCGACAACCCTCCCACGCAGCCCGCGCCGCCCACCCTCCTGGAGACGGGCGTCAATCGGTTGAGCCTCGCGTGGCAGAAACAGGCGAAAAGGGACGACGAGTTCCTTTTGCAGATGAACGATGTTGAGACGAAATATGGCTTTCTTAATGTTTACAATGGCAAGGAGAGCTACCACGTGTGCAGCGGACTGAACAGGTAGAGACCCACCTTAAAACTATACAGGGTGTCCCAGAGGTCGACGCCAGAATACGACAAAAAAATGGGGAAGATCGGCGAAGGGCAGATCTACAACATATACAATGACCCTAATAAAAGTTTAACTGTTTTTGAGATATTAATTTTTTCATCAACATCAGTATTTACGGTCAGTTGGACCAATAGAAAAAAACCTTATCGAAATGCAATTTTACGGAAGCTGTCAAAGCTCTCTGAATATCAGTGATTTCTATTGAAATGTTGAATAAAGTCGTGAAAAAACTTTTGCCTTATAAATAAGGGTACAATGTAATATTATGTCTTTGTGCTTTAGAATCAGGATAACTTTCATAGAATTTCAAATTTTTATCATTTCACAAAAGACGGTCAGTTATTTAAAAATGAGAGAAACAATAGAACGAGTTTCTAGCTATTATATTTAGTAGGATGTTTTCACTGTTTTTGACGACTGACTGACTGTTTGTCAATGGAAATAAAAAGAGCAAAAAACTATGTTCATGCATCGAGGTTATTTGAAGATCAAATGACTTATAAACAGGAAACATTTTTAATTTCTGAAAATCATTATGCGGACAATTTTAAGTTCAAGTATGTCCTTGCCAATGAACCTGACCATAACCTTCAAGGTCGTCACGTTACGACCAGATACATTTTCAAGTAAACTCCCTACTTTTTGCATTGAAATCAATTTATTGTTGCAATAAGATGATGGATAAAAAATGGTCATTGCCAAATTAACTATTTCATATTGTATTTCTTTTTTCAAAACGTATCTCCTTCATTAAAACGATACGAATGACTTATTGTAGAACGTCTTTATGGCCTCCTTGATTTTCATATTTTTCTACTGTTCCGTGTCAGCACTTTATTTTGAGGTTTTGTTAAAAATATCTATTTGCATCAAATTTTTCATGCTTTCGATTTATATCTATATCTGTTATATCGGCCTGAAATTTTCTACAATTCAAAAAGAAAACATAGCCTCACAACAGGAGAGCGCTTACGCTGACATGGAACAGTAGAAATCTAGAAATGCCCCAGATTTCCGGAGGAGGAAAATAACTATGAAAATTAAAGGAGGCCATAAATGCGTCCTTAGCCCTTCGCCTTCTCTCAACCATAAAAATATTGTGTATTGAACTTTCCTGCCCAAAAAAATGACGAACGTTTTACAAGTCGTATAATTTTCCTTTCAGATCTATTGACTACATATTTCGTCTACGCGTGAAGAACGAAGACGGAACGTCGCCTTGGTCGGAAGACGTGACGTACCGAACGTTGCCTGACAGGCCAGCGAGACCTTCGAAACCTGTTGTTAAAGGCAGGATACACGCGCATTCCTTTAAATTGAAGTGGGAACCACCGGCTGATACTGGCGGGACGAAGATCACTAGGTACGTAAATCAATCGTGTTTATGGACTGCAGGAAATAGTGATGTATAGTTCGCGAACGAACTACTTCAATCGAGAGATTCTTATAAGTGAGTCAATTCCACTTTTTTTCTTGGTTAGGTACCTCTTGGAAGTGAATTCCGGCAGCGGTTACGAACCGGTGTACAGCGGCCAAGAGACGGAAGCCATCTGCGATCGCCTAACACCGGGTACGACGTACCAACTGCGCGTCTGCTGTCAAAGCATCGGCGGTCAGAGCGACTACTCGGACCCGTGCACGGTCACCACGGACGCCATTAGTCCAGGAACATGCCCGCCCCCGAGACCGGTGGGCAGGCCGAGGCCTACGGCCGCCCATCTCAGGTGGGCGGAGCCTGACTACAACGGCGGGGCGCCCGTATTGGATTATGAGGTAAGTTCTGTACTTCCTTTTTGCTGTCTCGTTTTCTTTTCACTTCTAAACATTGAAATATAAATTCTCGATCATTTTCTGGCGCATTTGGTGCGTACACTACCGGTCAAAAGTATTTATTATTATTTTGCCAGGTGGAGATGGTGTCCCCCGACACCTCCAGAAGCATCGTCTACAAGAACAAGGAGTGCGAGTGCCTCGTGACCGATCTACGACCCGGTTGCGACTACCTGTTCGCCGTGAGGGCTGTCAATCGCATCGGGCCCGGTCCATGGTCGGATACGTCGCGGGTGACTAGCGGGGCGGCGCCTCCTGATGCCCCAGAGGCGCCCAAGGTCGCTGCCAAGTCGCCATGGCATGTGGCTGTCGAATGGAGCGAACCTAGGTAAGGAGGTCGCGGAGAAGCTTTAGGATGGAAAACATACAGTAAACCAACTCGGATACTTCTACATTTTGATAATACTCGTATAAACAAGCATGAAGTTTGTACAAAATTAGTGGTTTTCCAACGTCTGTCGCGAAATTTATTTTGAAGTCTCATTACAAATAAAGACAGGAAAAAATTTTGGAAAATTCTTTTTTTTTATTCTCTTTCCAGAAGTACTATGAATTTGAAAACTTTCTAAACTTTAATTACCTAAATACGCAATTCTGTCCCCATTTGAAGAATTTCGTACCTCCAGCCGTTTCCGAGATACCGGTGGGGTGGGGTGTTTTGTGTTATTAATTGATTATCATTATAAGTACCCCTTGGTCTTTACTGAATTCCTGCAAAAAATTATCTTTTTATTTAGGTGTAATGGCGCGCCTGTGACGGAGTATAAGCTAGAGATGAGTAGCAGTAGTGCCGATGTCGAAGGAGAAGAAACTGAGGAGACGATAGCTGCCGCAGTCGATGGAAAATTTGCCAGCATATATCAGGTATGTTTTCAGAAAATATTTTTTATTATACGAAGTGTGTCTCCCACATTTTTTTTTCAGGCACAACCTTGCATTTGAGATAAGAAAAATCCGCAATTTTACTAAACGTTCCTATTTTCTTCGATTTGATTTTGCCTCATATTTCTTCTTTTTTTTTTCAAGGGCCCCCTGACCTGCTACGACCTGAAGACGCTCATCCAGCCCGCTCATTGGTACGCGTTCCGCGTTGCCGCCTCGAACCTGGCCGGTAGCTCCGCCCACAGCTCGATCGCGTGCGCGCGCACGCCTGCAGCCCCGCCCTCGGCGCCCGGCGCGCCCAAAGGCGAGGCCACGCCCACGAGCGTGCGCGTGCGATGGCAGAGGCCGAACGATAACGGCGCGCCCATCACGCATTACAACGTCGAAGTTGGCGATAAGACCATTTCCACCGAGGGACCGGTCACGGAGGTCACAGTGGATGGGTTGCAGCCCAACACTGCCTACAAGGTAAGAATCGTTTTAGCGGTAGAAACGAAAAAGTTATAATGATATTATGTCAAAAAAATGTCCTGTATAGTTTGATATTCAGACGTCGAATATTCATTGTCTTAGTGAACCTACCTAATCGCGATTCGATTTCTCAGTTTGCAACGATTTGACTCACTACTTGACGCCATATTTTTTTTCTAGGTAAAAGTGCAAGCAGTGAACTCGGTATCAGCCGGTCCATTCTCTCCTTCAGCAAAGATCAGCACACTGCGTCTTCCCCCCTCCCCGCCTAAGCTGGAATGTTCAGCTGCGGGTCACAATTACCTGAAGCTGAAATGGGGCGAAGGCCGGAACCTAGACTACGTCCAGTACACGGTCGAGATGGAGAACCATCGTACCAGAGAGTACCAGTGCGTGTATAAGGGTACGGCGCTTACGTGCAAGGTTAACAAACTGCACGAGACCACCACATACAGGTAAGTCTTTTTATAATACGAGTGTTGTCTTAAAAATCTGGGTTTCAGGCGCAAGAAAAAAACGAATTCATCATTGCAATCGTTGAGCTTCAAGGTGGCACGTCCCTTTTTTTTAGATTTTTTCAACGATGTTTCATTTTTTTCCGTCAAAAATTACATTTTATTGTCCATTTTTTCTTCAATCGGAACTTGCCAACAAATATAAATACAGCTCTGAAATTGTGTGTGAATATTCCTCTTTTATAGAAGAATGAAACAAGTTATTAGTTTTGTTCTTATCACTTTTCCTTTTCGAAACATCTTTGCGTTTTCTTGAAAACAGCTTGCTGCGAGACGAGGCTTCAAGAGCATCAAAGATTTTTCGAAAAGGAAAAGTGATAAGAACAAAAGTAATAACTCGTTTCATTCTTCTATAAAAGAGGAATATCCACACACAATTTCACAGATGTACTTATATTTGTCAACAAGTTCCGATGGAAGAAAGGATGCACAAAAAATGCATTTTATGACAAAAAAAATGAAAACATTGTTTTTTAGTCATCTCATACACACCTTGAAATTATCAGATGAAAAGGATTTAGAATACTGCTGAAAACAGAAAATTGAAAAGAAATCTAATCTCTCGTTTCATTCTTACATAAAAAAGGAATATTCACACACAATTTCAGACCTGTACATATATTTGTTAACAAGTTCCGATGGAAGAAAGTATGCACAATAAAATGCACAAAAATGCATTGTTTGACAAAAAAATGAAAACATTGTTTTTTAGTCATCTCCATACACACCATGAAATTATCAGACGAAAAGGATTTAGAATTCTGCTGAAAAACAGAAAGTTGAAAAGAAATCTAATCACTCGTTTCATTCTTCTATAAAAAAGGAATATTCACACACAATTTCAGAGCTGTACTTATATTTGTTAACAAGATGGAAGAAAGGATGCACAAAAATGCATTTTTTTGACAAAAAAAATGAAAACATTGTTTTTTAGTCATCTCCATACACACCATGAAATTATCAGATGAAATGGATTTAGAATACTGCTGAAAATAGAAAGTTGAAAAGAGGTCTAAAAAAGGGACGTGCCACCTTAATAGGGATGTTCCAATCCACGGAATGTATCGATACCATGTTTGGATTCGTATCGTTTTAGGTCGTATCGATACTCTCTAAAATATCGCAATAAAAATATCGATATCACAAGTATGGATACGAAAGATGCTCTGCCGAAAATCGATGTTGTTTTTTCTCCAACTCTCAAAATAACGTTCACTTTTTTAACTGCATGACTAGATTAAGTACAAAAATACTTTTCACTTTATTTTTTTTTAAACTTCGTCCTTAACACTTTTTTTTTTTGTTGCAGCTTCCGAATAAACGCGACCAATGACGCCGGAGTCGGCGATTTCTCGGCCGTGTACCAGTTTTCGACGATTCTGGCACCTCCAGCTGCCGTGAAGCTCCCCAAAGTGGTCGAGGTGGAAAGAACGACGTGCACTTTGGAATGGTTGCCGGCCAAAAACGCGTTCGCCGATCCGGTCGCATATTTAGTGCTGTTGGCGAGGGGCAAGGAGCAAACATTCAAAACGGTGAGACACAATATACAGTTAAAAGTTGAAAATGATAATTTTTTTCTCGAATACGAAGTGAGATACGAGTGTTAAAGAAGCTGTATTGTTAGATGCTTAATCAAACAGCGAATATTAAAGGGCAGTAGCGTACATTTTTTTACCAATAATGTTCGCTGACGCGCCCCCCGGGACGCGGCGGTACATAATGCGTTTTTTCTATTGGAATATATTAATCAGTGCTGTCATTGATTTATTTTAACTTGCAGGTGCACAGAACCTTTGAATCTAAACACCAGCTGGACCACCTGGACGCCGGCACCGAGTACCACGCTCGTATCGTACCCGTACGCCTTGCAGGCGACACCGAACTGCCCGGTCCTTCATCGCCTTCTGTCACTTTCACCACCTTAGCATCCACGGAACCTTCTAGCACCGCCTCCGCGACGGGCTGTACTCCAAACGCCCAGTCCGGGGCGCAGGTTCATCACAAACGAGGTAAGTCGAGGAAATTATATCCTCTTTTCTTCTCGAAAACTGTCAGAGATGGTCTGATTGCACAGGGTGGCCGATATGTAACTGACTGGTTTATATCTTGAATATTTGTGAAATGAAATAAAATACGTCCATTTTTTTCATCTTAATCTTTTATTGAAACTACTTGAAACTCGCCATTTTGAAAGTACCGACGTACAGTGAACGCACGATGTTCAACGTACCAAACCATCTTGCCAACTAAAACGGCACTTCTCTCACCGACACGGGACCAGCCCACTCGATGTAGTACCCATTCGAAAAACATGCGTTCTTTCTGACGGACCCTGTATATTGGCCAACCTGTATAATGATGATGAATAAAAAATAAATGTGTTAAACCGATTTTACTCAACGTGTATGGGACACTAACCTTTCCAAAATCGGTTTCTAATTAGTGGAGAAAGAAGAAACAAATTCTCATAGATGATATTTCATTTTGTCTCGAAACATTTTTTTGAAGAAAACGTTAGTTAATGTTAGTATTCAGTACTCAGTCGGCATCTGTGAAAAAAATGCTTGGTGTGAGTCCTTTTTATCAGCTTTAATCGATCTACATTTTGTGTTGGTTCCAGGTGGTACCGTGGCGTTGGGTCTGTATCATTCCATAAGCAAATGTTGCGCGTTGGCCCTGAAGGACGAGTACCGCACTTTCTTCTACGTAGTACTGATCACCTTGCTGGGTATCCTGATTTCGCTGGGGATCGAAGCGATGCTGTAGACTGACAGCTGCAGGCATTTTAGGACGTCGAGTAAGTGTCGCTGGCTTATCGGACGAGCCGCTTTCTAAGAAAATATTGTTCGTGATTTGATTTTGTCGGTGTGACGGTGAATGTTTTCGAGAAGCTTTGTTTCCTTTGGTATTGCGAGATTCAATGGGGTTGCCCGAAACTTGGGACTTTCTTTTGCAGAAATAGCGGCGCCGTTTGAATATGAGTACGATTATGGTACTGTTGCGTCTTGCAGCACTTCGCATTTCGCTGTTTTTTCACTTGAAATTTATAGAGGGTACGCTTTTCCCAAAACACTGTAGTTTTAGCATTTATTTCTACCATGATTTACACCGCCATCTGCCATATGACGTTGACGTCTGTACATATGTCATGTATGAGAAGTGCTTGCCTGCGGTGTTGCCGGATTGGGCTCCGCATTTATGGAAAAATATGAAAAGTGGAAAATCTATATACAATATTAATTAATGAAACACAAAAACAAACAACAATAGCAAAATAAAAAACGAATCTTAATAAGTATAAAACAAACAATAATAGTAGTAAGCTAAAACACAATAAATTGTTAATAATTATAAAAAAAAAAACGGTAGTAAAACAAAAAAAAAACAAATCCATGTATTTATAAAAAACAAAAAAATAACAAATAGTAAAATTAAAAGCAAATAGTAAAAAAAAATACATATTACTTTTTATTTTAATGTTTGTTATTTGTTGTTTTTTATAATTACATAATTTTTTGTTTGTTTTACTGCTGTTTTTTATAAGTATTGACAATTTGTTTTTCAGCTTACTATCGTTATTTTTTGTTTTATACTTATTCAGAATCGCTTTTTATTTTGCTACTGTTGTTAGATTCAGTTTTTCGTTTTTGTGTTTCATTAATTAATATATTATTATAAGTTTTCCACTTTTCATATTTTTCCCTAAATGCGGAGTCCAATCCGGCAACACCGCAGGCAAGCGCCTCTCATATATGACAGATGCACAGACGTCAATGTCATATGGCAGATAATGGAAATAATGGTGAAAATAACTGCTAAAAATACAGTGTTTTGGGAAAAATATGCATGAATTCGAAGTTCTTCAAGACGCAACAGTACCTATGATTATTAAGTCTACTATTTTTGGAGCTTAATAACTTGGTTATCTCAAGATTTTGGTTTACGTGCTATTGAGAAAAAAATGTTTATTTTTACAAGAACTACACGCTTTTAAAGGAAATTCCCAACTTGAGGAATACCATGTATAATAATCGAAATGTATTGAGGTTTGTCCGGAAAATACATATAAAAGTGGAATAACTTTATTTTACAATTGTTCTGGTATTTGAATATGCAGTTCTGCCAACGCCGTTTCCACTGTTGATACGACCGCCGAAAGTCTCTAGTTGTGAGGCTCTTCATTCTCTCTCTATGCTTTGAGATTTCAGCTTCACATCGAATTCATAGAACAGACTCGTCTCCAGTGATGACCCGGTTGAGCAAGTCCCCTCTTTCCTCTGCTTCCAACCAATCCTCACAGCAAGCAACTCTCTTTGCATTCTATTCAGGAGCCAAAACCTTCTGAACGATTTTCGTGCACAATTTCTTCATTTCAAGTTTTTCTGTCAGAATTTCGCGTACGATTGTTTTGGGGATTGACAGTTCCTCAGCCATCTTTCTGTCAATCATTAAGAACACTGCAAGAAATTGATACCGAAGGCAGGTAAAAAGAGTTACTTTCAACAAGCACACGTAAATCCCACTTGTACTGAGCATAGAGAAAGGGAACCACCGGGCCACTGAACGACGCCCCGAATTTTTTATACGTATTTTCCGTACAAGGGAAACTTTAATCAACTGAGATCGTGAGATGACTTGTTTGTTGCAGATTTGTGATGGTACGGATTGAAATGATCGAAAGAGTATAACGCAAAAAACCGAAAAAATGTCAATTTGTAACCATAAAAATAGTGGCGAGGAAACTAGCTGTAATTCCATATATTTTTTTTTTCGTTTCATAGTAGGAAAGCAAGAATCTATAAACTGTTGTTATATTATGATCCTCGGTGATTATTTTTAGTTTTGTGTATCATGTTATATTTTTGTATGAAATACTGAGAGAGATTAGTGGTTTATATATTGTATACCAGATTTTAATTTGTAGCTATATATATTTACATGTTTTTTAAATAGTCGTTTAAAAATATATTTTTTTATATACACTTCGCTTATGTAGTTATTTGAAATAGAGGATTCCAATAGGCTCCCAGAGAGGCTCGCGACGAGGTGAAATTGAAAGAAAGCGGTTCTTCCCGAGATATCGCTGACCTACTAGGGATTAAAACAGATTAGGGTGCATTTTTCGTGCTTATCCTTCGATATTTCCGAAATTCATACGCTCTCCTCCCATAACTTGCAGTTTGTATACTTGTCTCAATAAGAGCGTCGGATTTGATTTTCAAGAAAAACACAAGTTTTTTTCGAATTAAGCGAGTATTTATGTTTCAACATGAAGAGGAATAGTTGCGATTGAACATGAAATAGGACATCCGGTAAATGGCCACCACGAAACCTCTGGCACAGTTTCCGCGTAATTTCCTTCTTTTCGGTAGTGAATTTTCACAATAATTGAACGTCTAATCGCGTGGTCTGGACATGACAGCTGTCATCAAGTAACCACCATATGTACAAAAAATGGCGGCAAATTCAAATCCAGCGCTCTTGTTGAGACACCCTATATCTAAGTTCGTTAATAGAGAAAGGCGCCAAAGTTTTTGGTTGAAATGTTTCAAAAAAGTTACCTTTACCTGAATGTAAAGTCTTCTTCTAATACAAACTTCTATGTAAACTGCATTTGATTTGTATATCGAGGTAAATACAGTGATTTGGAATCTGGGCATCAAACTTTGATCCAGTGACTTCTTGGATATTAAATTTAATTATTTCAAAAATACGATCTTGCAAACATTTTTCTTTTCATCCAACAACTGTTATTGGCGTGTGAATTTTGAAGAATATATCAGGTAACGTATGGGAATGCATCCAAACCTAGAGTATTATTAAACAGGGCTTTTTATTATAAATTTGTTATATATTATATATATTAGAGGACCAAAGCGATATGTGGCGTTTTGGTATTTTTATACATTTTTCCCCGTACTTTCGGTGTGGTGCTATCAAAAAACCCAATTTGCACAACTTGGCGTTTACAATTATCAAGAAGCTTCCTAAAATATCACCCCAATGTTTATTATATTTAAAGGTCGTACTAAGATGATAGAATATAATAAAAGTAAGGTTATGGGCCCAGAGCTTCGTACGGCAGTTGGCCTTGAATCTAAACTTTACCGATTCGCGAGTGAGGAATGAAGTTTGTGGTCGTAAGTTGTGTAGGTCGGGTGTCACTAAGATGTGATGTAGACAACATGTAATTATTAATATCCATAATTTGCTTTTTGTATGTTCATATATTCAAGTCATAAGTCGAAGTATGTTCGAGCACATCTGCAAATCGTCGTACTATTTTTTTACTCCAGTTTTCCATATACCCAAACGAATATGCTTACATGTGATGCGCAGATTTCGTAGTGCTATAATCTGCTTATTGAGTATGTGATTGAAATAGACGCAATATAATATTTTGTTTTGATCACGATATGATAAAAAAAATTGCAGATGTCTTGAATCTATATGCGTATATTGTGAAAAGGAAAGATTTTTTATCGTTTTCGTGGGGGATGCAATATCTTGTGCTTGTTATAAAAAATCACTGCCAGAGTTATTAATTCCAACCATATCAAAATAAAAGCCTGTTGTATATGTAATACTTCAGCAACTCCCGTAGATGCTGAAGTATTTGCCAGAAACTGCCATATGACGAGAATCTCTATGCTAAGCATATCCTATTTCAGAATATATAGTCTAATCATATTAGACGAAAATATCCCTGGTTTACGAAATAATTGTAAAGTCTGATTTTATTGCTGCAAATTATTCAAGGGGGTATTCAAAACATGGACGCATAAAATTGGTACGCCAATTTTTGTATTTGACAACAAAGAATGAGAAAACTTGTTTTTTGGGATTAAATTGAAAATGTTGGCAGGAACGAAAAAACTCTTCATATAAGATTTTTAGCTATATATAAGACCTACAAAAGGAGATCACACGTAAAAAGATCCGCAGTTTGCCTGGGTTTTCGGCCATAACTTTTTTGCTATTATTCGGATCTTTTTACGTGTGGTCTCATTTTGTAGGTCTCACAAATACCTAAAAATCTTATATGATAATTTTTTCGTTCCTGTCAACACTTTCGATTGAATCCCGAAAACACGTTTTCTCATTCTTCGTTTTCAAATAAAAAATGTTCCCACAAAATACCCCCTTGAACAACTTGCGCGAATAAAACCAGACCTTACAATTATTTCGGGGAAACTTACTAATATGATTAGACTGATATGTATCGTATTATAAGAGTGTCACTAACATGCAAAGTTTACGCGTATGACACGTGCCATTCTTGGTATGTGGCGCGCTCCACGTTACATCAGTTGTCATTGATGTATTGTCAATTGTCATCTGTCATCCGCCGTTTTTACGAACCCCTAAATGTTTTTTGAGCTTACAAACATGTATTTTTGATTATTAGTCTTATCGCTATCGTAAGACCAATGTATCAACTGATTTTTGTCATGTTTTGTTGATAAAATTTGTATCTCAGCTCTACAAATAAGTCTCATAATAGGTTTACTATACCACTAAGGTTATGACAGTTGACGTGTAACACCTACAAGCACACTGTGTGTCGCATCCTTCAGAAAATTATAGCAAAAATCATTTTTGATAATCGTGGTAGTTATAAAATTATATGGTCGATGGTATTATAAAAAAATTTAGCTGCTGGAAGAGAAAAAACATGTACCTATAGACTAATAATTTTTTTGTAATTACAGATGTATAGGTTGGAGAAAAATCATTTATCGTTTATACAGGGTGTTCTAGATTGTTTGTACTTGACACTTAGTATGAATTGGCAACAAAAAAGGTCAAAGTTTCAGTCAGACTTCAGCCATCAATACTGTCTAAACAGTATAGCTTTATTCATGCTTTTTCTAGTGAAGACCAGTGTCATCAACTTTGAATTTTGTTTTATTGTCATTTATATTTGTAGCAGACAAAAGGAAAGATAATTTCTGAAAATATCAGTCATTATCTACCAAAAGCCTTTAGTTGTGCCTTTAGAAACGTAGTACCCTCTATTTTTCCATATGTCATTTTGTCAAACATCACAAATATTCTTCTGCACCCTGTATGTTAATCGAATCTTTATGCAATTCTATTGATCTAATCATTATTATTTAGAGTTGGCTATAAAGGGATGATGTGTAATTTGATATACGTGCTATCCATGCAGTAAGAAGAGATATATATTAATATATTATAGATAAATACCTATAAATAATAAAATTCTATTATATTTTATGTACTAGTATCATGAACTTTCTTTTATTTAAAAATATTGGAAATAAAAATCAAGTTACAAATATTCTTATTTTATTTATTTTGTTTTTCAAGTGTTCACTTCAGTTATACAAGATCTGCTACCACGATCACAGAAACGCGAGAAGATATCGAATCTGCTACTCCTGATGTAAAGTTCAAATCTATCTTGTTACTTGCAACCCTGATACCAAATTTTTAGAAAAAGTTGGGCACCGGCCGTCAGATTACCTGGATGAAACTCTCAGAATGTAGGAATTCCCATTTGCTATCAGGATCTCAGAAACTCGAGAACGTATAGAATCTGTAGTTTGCTCCTGATTTACCGACCCGTTGTCAAAACGGATACACATATTGGGCAAACACAACATTATGGGCAACAATAATTCAGATTTTTCAGAAACAAGACAAAAATACTGAAGACGCCGTGATGCGGAATACATTTTGACGATTTGTTCAATATAATTCCCTAAAAAATCGATGAGTATCATTAATTTTTTTTATGGTAGTGACATCTAACGACCAACAACCTACACTGCTACGCAAAGCTAATAATGGGAAAGGTAACTGTGTTGCATATTTGTTGTTTTAGTATTTCACTGGAAGATGGCAGCACCACTTATGATTGCGGTGACATCTTGTGACAGGCACTCTAATTATTGCAAACATTAAGGTAGAAACTGTAATTAAAATTTTCAAACTTGGAATGTTACATAAGAGATGGCGCAGCTAATTCTACAAGCTGTGACATCTACTGGTGAAATTTGTAATTTGACAAATCAGTACAGAAAACTATGATGAAGTAGTATACCATTCTGGTTTCCTTGTAAGAAAATCGGTAATCTTGGCAACATAGGATAACTTCGTTGATGGTAGTGACATTTATCGATCAACAACGTACACGATGCTATGCAGATCTAATGATGGAAAAGATAACTGTGAAGTATATTTACCGTTTCAGTAATTGACTGGAAGATGGTAGCACCATTAACAATTCTGGAGACATCTTGCGGCATGTATGCTAATTATACCAAACATTAATGTAGAAACTGTAATTAAAGTTTTCATACTTAGATTGTTACATAAAAGATGGCGCAACTAATTCTACAAGTTGTGACATCTACCGGTGAAGTTTGTAACTTAAAAAATCAGTACAGAAAACTATGTTAAAGTAGTAGGTCATCTTGTTTCCTTCTAGGAAAATCGATAATCTTGGCGACGTAGGATAACTTTGTTGATGGTGGTGACCTTAGACGAGGAAAGAGAGTGGACTCGTAACGCGCATTCACAGACCGGCGCAGTAAGTGTGCCCAATTATTGAAGAGACGCCATTATTTGGGTCCTATTCTTGAAACCGACTCCAAGCCTTTTTTTCTGTGTTTCTGTGCTATTGTGTATTAAAGACTGCGACTTTTTTATTCAATAAGAATGGTGTTGTGCTCGGCTTTTGATTGCAAAAATCGCAGTGAGAATAAAGTGCCAGGAATAACCTTTCACAGGTAAATTTTTTAGTTGTGTTGATAACGTAAATACCTTAATTACTTTATAACTCCATTTTAAACGACTGCAACAATATTATTTCAGTCATATAAGTACTACTTCACTTGAATGCATAATTTAAATTAGTTATAGCCATGTGTTTCATTCAGGATTTGTTTGAATTTATCAATTTTATATCACTATTATGATTTAATGGCGGTCATTTGCCAGTGGCGGGTGTGATATTTTTTTATTTATTATATTTTCAAATATGTTCAATATCAAGTTAGTTTAGTATTGTTGTCATTGTATTTCAGGTTTCGTCTTAAAGATCCAACAAGAAATGGTATCTGGCTGAAGAATATGCATCTAGCTGACTGGTTTCCCACAAAAAATAGGCCTTTCAAAGCATTTTGAAATCCATGCTTTTTACAAAGTTGGAAACAGAACCTCTCTTTTGGATGATGCAGTCCCTACAATCTTTGAAGAACTTCCAAAACACCTACAGACTAAGCTAATTTAATACTTAACCCAACATATTAAGAAATTTACAAAACAAATTATTCCTTTACTCAGTTTACAGAGAAATTCTACCAATAATTACTATAATCTGAAATAAAAATGAAAATACTAATTAAGTGGAGGACTTATTAATGTAATTGAGATATATTTGATTGCAGGTAACAAAGAGACCACATCCAAGATCTAGACAGCTTATTACACCTACAGCTTCGACATCTAGGAAAAATGATCCTCCCCAAGAAGATCCAGACACCCCCAGAAAGAAGCATCCTAGAAGACAGCTTTTTGCAGAAAGGGTAAAGAGCCAAGAGAAATCGAGAGAAATAAAAGTTTTGAATCAGCGGGTGAGAAGACTGAAAAGACATATTGTTTCTCTCAAACAAGTAGTGAAAGCCTTAAAACAAAATAATTTGGTATCTTGTGAAAGCTCAGTTCTGCTTGAAAACATGTCAGAAATTACGAAAGAATTACAAAAGCGTAAGTTGGGAAAAAAGCATCAGTATGGAGACAGAACTGTGAAAGTTTGCAATTACTTTGTGTTTTTTCTCCCCAAGAGGATATGATTATGTACGAAATGCTTTTGAAACCTGTTTACCCCATAGAAGCACTATAGGAAAATGGTTTAAGACCATTAATGCTGAACCAGTTTCTCTAGTGAGGCAATTAATGTTTTGAAGAAAAATGTAGAATATTCGGATAAGCCTGTACTATTAAGCCTCATTATAGATGAGATGTCCATTCGGAAGCATCTTGATTTAGAAGATGATTCTAACTTTATGGCCAAACAGGTATTTGTTATGATAATTGTTAACATTAATGGAACTTGGAAGCTGCCAGTTGGCTATTTCCTTGTAGATAATTTGAATGGAAATCAAAAAAGTGTACTTGTTTCACAGTGCATACAATTAGTTTCTGCTACAGGAGCACGAGTTGTATCGCTTACATTTGATGGTGCTCCTTCAAATATTGCAGTGGCAAATACTTTGGGAACCAATAATTCTTATGACTCATTAAAACACATTTTTCTTTAGATGGTAACAACATTTATGTTTTTTATGATCCAAGTCATATGATAAAATTAATAAGAAATGCTTTTGGGGAAAGAAAACTACTAATAGATGACAATAGGAATTTCATTAAGTGGGAATTTATAGAAAAACTGGAATTTATTTATTTTTATATAGATTCTAATTATTTTCAATAAAATATCTCAGTTCATACTGAATGTTCATTAAAAAAAATATTCAATATAAAATAACAATAAATAACTTATATATTATTTTTAAATCACAATCAACACACTCAAGTTATGATATTCATGTTGAACAATGCTCTCAATAAGGCATATATGATTATAATCATGTTTACCAATAAGTGAAATTTACACTGTAATAATTATAATTAAAGTACCATAATATTATAACGCTATGTCATACTCAATAAATGTTTCTGTGTAAACTACATGTTTATTTTTAATAAAAAAAATGGGAATATACCTACTCTGCGTGAGATTTGACACTTTCATAAATGAAATAATTTATTTTTTAGTTATATTGCTCAATATTTATATTGGGTGTTTAGTATTTTTATGGAATACTTTGTCTGTTGTTATGCTTTCACATAAATTAACTAGAAAATGTATTATACAATAAAATATAGATCATTCGATTTGTTCTATTTCATTTTTATAATAAAATAATTATTAATGAAAAAACTTGTTGAATCTGTGGTATTAGAAATTACCGATAAAAATATACTTTGTAAATAATAATATAATAAATTTACTTTTTTCTACGAAGAAAGTATCATTTTTCTTCCGTTTTTTTAGATATTTCAAATTGAAACTATAAAATAGACAAATACTAAGCGTCACTCAAGTGCAAAATTTATTTCTGTAAGATGGTACTGAACCCTGGCGATACGCCCCTGGATTGACAGCCTGGAGTCTGACTGGGCACACTTTTAAAGCGGACATGGCGTGTCCTCTTTCTTTCCTCGTCTAAGGTGGTGACATTTATCAACCAACAACGTATACATACATACATACATACACGATGCGATGCAAAGCTAATGACGGGAAAGATAACTGTAAAGCATATTTACTGTTTCAGTAATTATCTGGAAGATGGTAGTAATCACACCAAAGCCAAAGATTGATAACAAGCCGCATGGACGTTTAGGCAACACGTACAACTAAGTGCGACGTTTAGGCAACACGTACAACTAAGTGCTAAGTTAACATCTTGTAGAATAAACTACATAATGTCAAAAAAACAGCATAATGTCAAAAAACACGGCTAAATGTCACTTTTCAAGATACTTGATACCCCTGCGTGACTTGCTACCAATGTGAGCAGATATGGAATCTGCTTCTCCTGATATAAACGGGGGCGGAAGTTCAAATTCATATCGTGACTTCCTGTCGCAAAAGCGACCCTGCCGCTACAATGTATAAACGCATATTAGAAAACAAGCAAACTATGCGAAAAATGAAGATTGGGCCAAAATTCCGTCCAAGTTTAATGCAATGAATGGTGAATGCGCGAATATAAGATTTAAAAAAACCGTGGATGTTCCGCAATTTCTCCTTAAAGCGATTTACTTTCTATACCCGACCCGTGGTCAAAATGGATATACGTTGGCCAAACACATTGTATGCAACAATAATCTGATTTTTCAGAAACAATATCAAAAACCAATGTTAAAGCTGAAGACGACGTGATGCGAAATACATTTTGGCGATTTATTCAATAGAATTACCGAAAAAATCGGCAGCTAGCAATACATGTTTGATGGTAGTGACATCTATAGACCAACAACGTACACTATGCTACGCAAAGCTAATAGTGGGAAAGGTAACTGTGATGCGTCTTAATTGCTTTGGTATTTGACTGGAAGATAGCAGCACCACATACGATTGCGGTGACATCTTGTGTCGGGCATGCTAATTATACCAAACTGTAATTAAAATTTTCATATTTAGATTGTTACATAAGAGATGGTGCAACTAATTCTCCAGGTTGTGACGTCTACCAATGAAGTTTCTAACTTAACAAATTAGTACAGAAAACTAAGTTAAAGTAGTAGGTCATTCTTGTTTCCTTGTAGGAAAATCGATAATCTTGACAACACAGGGTAACTTTGTTGATGGTGGTGACATTCAACCAATAACAACGTAAACGATGCTGTGCAGAGCTTATGATGGGAAAGATGACTGTGAAGCGTATTTACTACTTCAGTAATTGACTGGAAGATGGTAGCACCATTAACAATTGCGGAGACATCTTGCGACATGTATATTAATTATACCAAACATTAATGTAGAACCTGTAATTAAAATTTTTATACTTAGACTGTTCCATAAGAGATAGCGCAACTAATTCTACAAGCTGTGACATCTACCGGTGAAGTTTGTAATTTAACAAATCAGTACAGAAAACTATTTCGCGTGGTAAAATAACATACAACATAACATGTTGATGCTAGTGACATATTGTGATCAACAACGTACAATATGAATCAAAGCTAATTGATGGAAAAGGTTACCGTGATGTATATTGATTGCTTAGATAATTGACTGGAAGATGGCAGCACGATATACGATTGCGGTGACATCCTGTGACATGCATTTTGTTTATACAAAACATCAAAGTGAAAACTGTGATTAAAATTTTGATGCTTAATATTTTACGTAAGAGATGGCCCAACTATCTGCAGGTTGTGATATCTACCGGTGAAGTTTTTAATTTAACAATGTCAGTACAGAAAACTATGTTAAAGAGCTTGTCATTCCAGTTTCATTGTAGAGATGTCAATACTATCACTTCAAAAACGAATAAAGCAGGCATCCCCAAAAAGGTCACAGTGGTCACACCACCGGGTCACACAGACAAACATCAGGGATTATTCTAGTAGGTAGAACCTTATTTTATTGAAAAAATGTTATAAATAAAAGTCTTGTCACCAATATTCATAATTTATTTTAATGATATAACAAATCCTATCATAATTAGTCGTCCTAAAAAATAGAACATCATAGTCGTTTTCGTATATATTTTGAACAAATTACATCTTTCAATTTTCCATAATTATAGGCGAATGAGGAACGTGAATGTACAACACAAATATTCACGTTTCTGACAAGAACTTTATTTTGAAGTACGAATGCTATCGATTGTCGATTTCTTCTTGAAAGATGTTACTTGTTGAAAAATCATGTTGATAATAGTGACAATGTGTAGAGGCACCCAGTAAATACTGGAATGATTTTTTCACAGATCAGAAGAAAAAATTATTGACGGGAAATCCATATAGGTTGATACGTCTAAATAAAAAGTATGAAGCTTCATTTAGTTTAGAGGCTGGGAGCTGCCTCAAAAATTAAAAATATATAGTCAACCAGCTTAGCACTCTAGTGCATGTACGGTCATTTGTATGTTTATGTACAAAAAGATTGCCACCCACTATTTGAATGTAATCCTACAAAAATTTGTTTTAATAATTAAGATAACTCATATTATGTTTCCATCTGATCTGTTGAACAATAAATCTATTAGAAATTATAAAGGTAATTGTTATACAGATAAACCTGGAAATTATTCAGCTTATGCGCAAAATCTCAGGGCTTGCTATTTTTTGGAATATCACAGAACTGCTTTGACGAATAGTACAATCTCTGAACATAATAATTAATAATATTCAAGGAGTTATTTAAAAAATACTTTTGGAATATTTGTGTGCACTATAGCACAAAGTTATTGGGAAAATTGTATTGATGGGTCATAAAGTTTCTAACTGCTAAGAATGTTTAGATTTTTGTGTGCGAGGATCATGGGCGCCCGCAGGAATTTTTCTCTGGGGTCCGATCATCGACAAGAGATAACCTGTCGTGAAAGAGTACCTGCCTTTAAAACTTTTTGAAATGCGGAGGTACTTGACTCATTTGAATTTTAAAATCCACGCAGATTCTAAGAAGGACTATGACCCTCTGACCCCTGCAGGCGCCCATGTGAAGCGGACCACCAGAAAAGTATGACCTGCAATACGAATAACAGTAGAGAAATAATCTGTTTGAAAATATACTTACATATATGTATGTATCTATTTCTTAATTACCATATATCGTTAATAAGTCAACAGCACTTTGTAGAAATTCAACACTGACTTTAAATCTCTTCTTTATGTGTAACAATTTTCACAAGTTCAACATTCTAATATATATTTCAATCAATTCCACTTTACAAAATTGTCGCATCTAAGGTGTCGCGTAGTTATGTACTGTTTAACGTCTATTGCTACGAAAGTTACAGGTATATAGTAAAAAAATAACATTAAAAAATCTGGAAAGCTGCGTATGCGAACTATGTAGCTAAGTGGTGAATTTGCACAGGTTTTTTCAATCAACATACGAAACTTGATCTAGAAATAATGTTTCCAAAGGCGAAGTCTGACAACCCCGCTGCGTTAAGTTAGTACATCCAACATAATTTCAGTTTGAACCAATGAGAAAACGTTGCACATCCAACATATTTCTTAATGTTGACGATAATAAGAAAACATAGCTCATCCACCATTGTTAACAGTCCAAGTGTAATCGAAAAAAAAAACGCGACACATCCACCATATATGTAAATTCCACAACCTTAAAATATTTTCATTAATTACACTTGATTTTTGTATACACTATTCCACAGTATTAGCATAAGTATTCCACAAGGCACCATATCCTCGTTGAGTGCTTGCGTTCATACTCTGGAATAAGGTATTCAAGTGTAACTCCTAAAGGTATTTAGACAGTAGAATTTGAAAATATGGTGAGTGCCACGTTTTCTGATCATACTTGGATTGGTGGATGAGGTATATTTTCGGATTGGTCTAGAATTCAAAAATTTGGTGGATGTATAACGTTTTCTGATTGGTGCGAATCGAAATTATGGTGCACGTATCAACATTTTCTAATAGATCGACATTTTAAAAAATATGTGAGCGAAATTCTCACAGATTATCTCTGCGTTATGAGTATTTAATACTGCACAAATTCACTAGTCTTATCGACATGCTACATTTCGCGGTTCTTCTTTCCAATTACACCCACATCAAAACAGCAACAGAAGATCTTATAGATACTTTTTACATACACAGTAACAGAGTCACCGCACTACGTGATTCCCCTCCCAGTAATCAAAGTAGCGTTCCTGCCTCCAATTTTATTGGGGGCCAACAGTAACCCTCACGTCCTTACGAATTTATACACTACGGCGAATACCAAAATGCTCACTAACACAAGCACTAAGGCTGTTACCACCTGCAACAGAAATAATATTGAAATTTGCATGTCCAGTTAAGGATTCTAATATCATCTAGGTGTAATTTTCCACGACCTTTACAATTTGACCTTCGACCGTTGACCTTAGACCGTTGAACTCACCGTTGACTTTTGACAGACTCTTGATTTGTGATCTTTGACATTTGACCATTGACCACTTTCCTTGTACTATCGGCCTTGGAGCTTTGGCCTTTGACCTTTGAACTTCTCCATTGACTTTCGACAGAGATTGTCGATTTATGATAATCAACTTTTGATCATTGACCTTTGGCCATTTACCTTAAACCACTGACCTTAGACCGTTGGTTGCTCTCAGTTGAGCTCTAACCGTTGACCTTTGGCTGTTGATTTGACGATCGTTGACCTTTGCCCAATGACCATTAACCTTCAATCGTTAACTTTTGACCTTCGACCATTGACCTTCGACTATTAACTTTGATTATTGACCTTTGACCGTTTACCTTTGTCCGCTGGTTTTGGATCATTAACATTTGATCGTTGACTTATGGCCATTGACAGATGACGGTTGATTTTTTATTACAGACCTCGCATATGATCATTGATCGTTGAACTCACCGTTAACTTTTGGCAGACTGATGATTTTTGATATTTGACCTTTGAGCGCTGACCTTTGATCTTTTCCGTTGTCTTTCGACAGAGATTGTAGATTTATGATAATCGACTTTTGATAGTGACCACTGACCTTAGCCCGTTGGTTGTTCACAGTTGACCTCCTGCCTTTGACATTTGACTGTTAATTTGACAGCAGTTGACCTTTGCCCGTTGACCATTAACCTTCAATCGTTAATCTTTTACCTTCGACCATTGGTCTTAGAATATTAACTTTAATCATTGACCTTTGACTGTTGACATATGATTGTTGAACTTTGACCTTTAGTCTCTGACCATGGACTTTTAATCAATAACTATTGTGCTTTGAGTTTTAGCCATTAACCGTTGACCACTGGCCATTGACAACTATTGACCTTAGACCACTCACCTTTCACTATCGATCTTTGGCCAGTGACATATCGACCATTGACCATTATTACCCTTTGATCTCTGACCGCTGACCTTTGACTGATGGTCTTTGACGATTAACCGTTGACCTTTGGAACCCCGTTCCTTGGAAAATCGCTATTGTGTTTGGTCATGCTTATAATAATACCTACCTTAGCAAAACTGTTAATTCCACTCTCCGAAGGATTGAGAGGTCTCCGATGCCCCGTTTGTTGGGACCTACTCCTCTTCCCTGCCAATCCCCTGGCCAGTGCTGGAAAGGCGAGACTTTGAGTGAAGGTCAACTTGTGTAAACTCTCGGACAGGGAGTAAGGGCCGACGCTGCCTCTCGCCGCCGCTCTAAGTAGAGCGTATTCTAGATCTATCGTGTCGAATAGGGAGTACCTGAAATTGAGTTCGAGGTTTAATATGCTTATTTTTTACTGATAAAAAGGGGAGAAGTCGCAATAATTCAAGGTGCCAGTGCTGAGTTTACGGAACAGTTTAAGTTTAAACGCTTTTAGTTATTTTTCAATTTTTATATACAATACGTTAAGTAGTGTGACGCGATGAGCGCCATCAATTGACGGTAACACGAACTGTCGCTGTCAAGTTGTCACGAATGCTATGTGTTGATATCTAGTAGCGCCATCTATCGGCAACCAGCGGGATTACAAGCCTAGAACTAATCCCGATACGCTTGGCTGTTCTAGAGGAGGCCATACCCTGGTCTAAATGCAGCCACGTCCAGAGAACCAGCCAGATCAGTCGAGAGCTCAGAAGGACAGACGACGCGGACGCGGAACCGCGACCCAAACACAAATTTGTTATACATCAGTGTTGTATGAGTTAGTGTGGTTAAGGAGTAATAGTTTTCTTAGTGAATATCTGGTTTCGTTATTACCTAGCAGTCATTGTGGATGATCTTCTGCGACCATCAGAACAACTATCGCTAGTTCTGGAGTTACAGTTGGCAGCTGCGGCAGCTATCGAAGCCAGTGATGACGTTGTTGAAGACGAAGGCGTTGGAACGTGGTTGTTGTGCTGACTACTAAAGGCTAGCAAATTGAAAAAGGGCATTGATTATTGTATACCAAGGAAAAACTAATTTACTCTAGCGAAGCATCCTAGGCAATCTAAGCGATCTTGCATTTGTGATACAGGAGTTATACCCTATTCGTAGTCGATTCACGCCCCGGCACAACAAAGATGCAGTGCAGCAAAGCGACAGCCGTCTAGATATTAGTCAGTCGAACATAAGTCCATACATTTTTTGAAACGCAGGAACATCCCACCATAGACAAAGTATTACGAGCAAATATAAAAAACTATGTGGCTTTAAACAATAGAACCTTCAAATTGAAGTGAAAAATTTATTTTATAAAGATGTCAACAGAGTGACGACAACCTTTCGAAAGATTGCATCTGTGACGGTCAAGAGACAATTGAAACAGAGATATGGGATCTGGACAATATATCGATTATCAAATTGAACCTGTAATCTTGCATACGTATAGTAGCAATAGGAAAGGACAAAGCCGGCAACATGGTCGTGCATCGGTAAGTAGCACGTAGTTGAGTAATTTAAAATATCGAAACTTTTGAACGAAAAGGGATAAAGAAATCAAAAAGACTTTATCTTAATGTCCGATGTCCGGGCTTTCTCACGCAAAAATCGTCAGGTTCGTAGCTCCTTTATCTTCGGAGGAGATAGAAAGTGAACGTCGAACAGCACGAAAATCTACAGTTTTTTTGACTTTGACCGCCGTTTTCGATCGCGTTTCTTCCTCTTACCTCGACGGTCTTCGTAATTAATATTAACCAGCGAATAAAGAATTGTGAAAAGTATGTGCACTTCTTTCTATAAAAATAATCATTTATTTTGTTAGGTTATTCCAAGACCATTGAAGAAAGTACGGACCTATACAATCTCGCTTTTGACATGTTGTGTTTTGTCAGGGCGTAAATGGACTACGAATGGGGCATAGACCTACTGAATTTATAAATGACATGCTGCATGCATTATTAGCTGTTATTGGAATGGGACTTGACTTCTCTCACCATAATTCTTATCGTTGCTTTCGGACATATCCTCTGTAGAACTGTGCACAGGCGATGAAGGTGGATGGAGCCTAAACAACCTGGCGTGATCAGGATGCAGGAACGAACAGGAGGGCCTCCTTGGAGTGGGAGATTGTACAGGGGTAGCCAACGGGGACATCGGAAGCGTTGAACCACCCGCTGTGGATGAAGGCAGTGGGGAAACCTGGAGACAAATTAAATACACTACCGTTCAAAAGTATTTGAACACCCAGAAAACAAGGAAAGTGATGGAATTTGGCAAAGAAAACATTACAATATCTGTATGAAACATTTATTTTCTTAATTCTTAACAGCATACAACTATTTATAATCGAAATAGTCAAATCTTTGACTTGTCAATATGTCTTCTTTTACCTTTAATTACAGCCTGGCCAATGATGGGTAAACGCTGAACTAAATTATCCAAAGTGGATGAGGTTACATTTCGCCATACGTCTTACAATATTCTCCATAAATGTTCTGGACATGTAGGACAATATGTTCGTACATGTCTGTCCAGTTCATCTCACAGCAACGCTATCGGATTCAAATCCGGGGATTGGCGAGGCCATTGTAGGACTTATTAATATTTTGCTCCTCTTTTGCTTCCAAAAATTGTTTACAGAGCTGGGATGTGTGTTTGGGGTCATTATCGTGCTGAAAGACAAACCCCGGGCCAATAAGGCGAGTCCCAGAAGGGGTAGTATGTCTTTGTAACCTTTTTTATTAAGTATTCCCTGTCCTCTCACAATATCTCCCAGAGCGGAACGACCAAAAAAGTCCCAAATCATTATAGAGCCTCCATCGTGCTTAGCTGAAGCGACGATGCATGATTCTGATGCCGACGGCGGACAAAGACTCGTCTCTTGAAACCAAAAACTTCAAATTTCGATTCATCGCTCCAGAGGACCTTCTCCCAGTCAGCAACTGTCCAATTTTGATGTTATTTGGCCTAAATCAGTTTCTTTTTTTGTTAGTAGCCCTGAGGAGTGGTTCGATACTTCTAGGCATCCAGCTGCGGGTAACCTTCTCTTAACTTACAGGTTTACTACGGCCCACATTCAAGTCCGCTGCTATTTCTGGTGCAGTCATGCGTCTATTGCATTTACTTTTTACTATTATGCTTAAGTCTTCAGTGGAAGTTGTAACTCTGGGTCTCCTTGAACAACGGCTTTTGGATGTTACACCTTGAGCCTTAAATTTCTTAATAATGTAGTGTACAGACGACAGTGGTACCTTTCTACATTTTGCAGACGCCCAATGTCGTAATTCCAGAACGAGTTAACCTACTTGACGTTATTTCAATATGGCATGTTGGGAAGTTTCACTCTCCTGCATGGATCACATTTAGCATACGCACACGAAATGTATCCTAATCCGCTGAATATCGTGATTCCCGGACGAGTCAACCTACTTGACGTCATTTTGTTATCGCATGTTGGGGTGTTTCACTCTCAACATCGATCGCATTTCTCAAACGCTCAAGAAATGTATCTTATATAGTAATTACTAAAGCTACTGAAACGCTCAATAACTATGTATCTCTTCTCTCTCGCTATTGCCTACATCACAGCTACGTATCAAACAAAGTGAGATTGAGTTAAACCAGTTGACGTAGGCAACCCTGTACGGTCGTCACTCTGTATGCACTAAGTGAGAATATATCCTGAAAGGCCCTCACTTTGTTTGTTGTAATTGTTTCAATATACGGACCTCGTTATGTTAGGAGCTCGGTCGGTCGTCACTTTGTCCGATATACAAGTCATAAATTTAAAATAGTTTTTTGCGTGTATACTCGCTACTTTTGGATATAACAATGGCGTGCTACCAGATCATGCCTAAAACCACATTTTTGTAGCTGCTTTCCTTCTGGTGGTCCTCACTTTGTATGGTATACAGTCGGTCCTCACATTGTATGGCAGCCATATATATATATATATATATATATACAGGGTGACTTTGAAGTTGAGTCATTAATTTTCAGATAATGATTGTACGTATAGAAGGAAGATAAACCAAAATATGTGTGTAAAAATAAAAAAAAAATTAAAAAAAAATTTACCTTGTTTTATAAAGTATCCTCCCGACAAGTATTTCAGTGAGGACCTGTATTTGATCGCGAGGTCTTGGAGCACCGGCATGCCGTCTTAAGTCACCTGATTCACGAGCCCGTTGTACTACATTAACAAAGGCACGAGGGGTTGGTTGCACTCGATCGGCATAAACATGTGCCATTTTTTATTTCGTTTGAGCCACGCAACAGACACCACCATTCACTAACGCGTTACCGACTGACACTGACTGTATACAACACAACTGAATAAAATAATTGTAAAAACATCGTTCCAAATTCTTTCGCTTTTTTGTTTCCGATGCGATGAACCGATGGCGGATTATATCCGTTGTTGCCAAACACGAGCACATAATATTATCATTGAGACAGGGCGGTACTCAAACTTCCAAAGGGCTATAACTTTGTTACTTTAATTTTACCAGAAAAATGGTAAAGGAAAAAAACATTTCTTTTGATCAGATCTACTCACTGTTAAAATAAATGACTCAACTTCGAAGTCACCCTGTATATATATATATATATATATATAAAAATAGGAAAATCGTGAGCAAACTCTGCAAAAAGAAGGAAAGTAGATTCGTTCAGAAAATAGGATGGGTAACCCGAGCGATACGTATTTCTGCTGGTTGGCTTCATCAGGCCCGAAATGAATGCACATATGTAACTACAAAAGTATATATATGGGAAATGATGGCAAAATCCGCAAAAAGGAGGAAAGTGGATTTTGCCCATTATTTTCCTACTTTTTGTTATATACCTTTCTCCGCATGATCCTTTTCTATAGGTATATATATATATACAGGGTTATCCAAATTAAGTGTCCACCATTAGTAACTTTGTTATTAGTGAAAATACAAAGTTGTTTGAATTAGCAAACTAGTAGCATTTTTAACGCTGGTAAAAATGAGAAATAAAAAAAAACAATTGAGAGTCGTTATTTTGATTTTTTTCAGTAAAATAACATTTTTTTAAATGGAAACCCCTGTATATTATATTTTTTTCTGTTAAAGCATCAAATTTTAAACAAAAAAGCTTACAATAACTTTTCTCCTAGGTTACAAATTGTTGAAGTTATCGCCTCCAATCTGAAACAATTAAATTGTATCGACAAACTTTATTTTCAACATCAACTTATAATCTTACAAAATACAATAACAATTTTTTTTAAAGAAGATGCTCGAAAACACCACCTTGTTCTTCAATACATTTTTGGGCACGTTTTTCAACTGCTCGAACTGTCTTAAGTATGGTCCTACCATCTATCTGGGTTATCTTTTCCCTAACTGCAGTCTTTAACGCGTCAAGGTTATCGTACCTTCGCTTGTAAATTTGGTTCTTTAAGTAACCCCACAAGAAGTAATCAAGTGGGTTATTGGGCCATTTGTTCCTATCCACTGATCATTAAAAGTAGTACTTAGAAAATGATAAGTACCTCTGGAGTTGTGGGCAGGTGCGCCATCTTGCTGAAAATGCAGATGATGTCTACTTATAAGATCCAATTCGTCTAAGAAATTAGTCAGAATTTCTGACATAAATTCCACATATCTTTCACCAGTTAGGGTTCCCTCATAAAAGAACGGGCCAACAATTTTTGAACCAATTATACCGCACCAAACGTTGAAACTGAAACGGACTTGTGGGCCTCTTGGATGTACTAACAAAAGATTTTCTCTTGACCAATAATGGTGGTTTTTTCTATTAAACATTCCAGAATTTGAAAAATTTGATTCATCTGTCCATAAAAGGTAACGAAAGTTATTTACATTTTGGCGACAGAAGCTAAGATACCAATGGCAAAAAACAAGTCTTCTCTATGGATCCCCTGCCAAAAGCGTTTGAACTGGTCGGTACTTATACGGAATAAATTTGTATTTTTTTAAAATCCTTTGAACAGTACCATAACTGAAATTAGAGTCCTTGAGAATATCTGCTATTGAATTCTCACGATAAGCTTCAAAATATCCAATAACTGCAATTTCCGTGGCCTCGCTTATTATGAATTCTTTTTTGCCCTTGTTTTAGCAAAAACATTTTCGTTGCCCCTAAATTTTCGATAAAGTCTCAGAAAATATCGTTCATACGGTTGAATGCGAGCGGGATATAATTCACTGTAGTATTCTCTTGCTCTCAAGGAGGATTTTCTGCACACTAAATAGCATTCTAACATATCACACTTTTCTTCATGGGGGAACATTTTTCTTTAAATTAATGACACAATAAAGCTTATAAACAAGTATTTACACTAATGTTTGACATTATTTGATTTTATCATTGTTTTCCAAAGCCTTCTAGTTGCGAGTATGTCCAGTTTAACAATTTGTCGCTTATCTTAATGCTGTCAAATCGCGAACGCCATGTTGTTTTCATAGCCGTCTTAATATTATAATACTGCAAATAATTAAAAATATATATCGTTATTTTGACTTTATTTTTGACTTTAGCGGAAAAGTCATTATGAACTTTTTTGTTTAAAAGTTGATGCTTTAACAGAAAAAAATATAATATACAGGGGTTTCCATTTAAAAAAATGTTATTTTACTGAAAAAAATCAAAATAACGACTCTCAATTGTTTTTTTTTATTTCTCATTTTTACCAGCGTTAAAAATGCTACTAGTTTGCTAATTCAAACAACTTTGTATTTTCACTAATAACAAAGTTACTAATGGTGGACACTTAATTTGGATAACCCTGTATATATACACATATATACGCAACGTTGCCAGTCTCAGCACTTATGTGATATCCTGGCTCCTAATCTATCCGTTAGAAATTCCTGACAGGGGATAAGAATGTGTCTGTTGAAGATGAGAGTGCATGTGTGTCGCCCGCGCTCCGGAGCCTCAGCAGCGCCGCCGGACTACTTCGAACTCCGGGAGCGCTGCCAAGTGCAGATTGAATGCGGGGCAGCACATTCCTTTGGTTCTAGTTTGTCCGAAGCGGAACTGGTTAAAGTTACAAAGGGGGCCGGCATAACAACATAGTTAGATGGTGGACTAAATACAGAGTGAACAGTTTACGGAATACTAGTTTTCGGTTTTATCCGCGAAACATATAGGTGGCGCCACTAATATAGTAACCAAATTTTATAAGCGTGCAAGTTCGTTGTCGATTTACTTTTGCCGTCAGAGGTACGAAACGTGATCGGACGTTAATAGCATTACTTAGAAACAACGTTTTGTGTTAGTAAGGCCCGATTTTACTAACAGGACTTCAAAATTTTAATCCGGATCATAATGAACCAATGTCATTGGATAATATGTCAGTAGAGTTGCAATGGTTTCTAATGTTTGTCATAATATTGCTTAAAAATTCATGAATAATTTTAAGTTGACGATAAGTTAAGCAACTTGACTATAATGTTATAAAAATGTTTCATCATCGTGGTACAAATGCATTTGGAACTTTTAAAAACAAATATGTCGAAAACTATACGCTTAAAACACTCCTAACAAGTAAACCTTTTTTGTTGTCGAAATACGAAAAAATAAGATTTTTTGGCCAGTTGTTGTATACAGGGTAGCACAAAAAAGTTATGATGAGTTATTTACCGAAGTAGTGCTGTAAGTGGCGCCCTCTAGAAGTTTGGCCATAAAAAATAACGGATTATTGTTTTTCGTACTAGAAAACTTCCCTATAGTTAGGTTTATGACAAAATCTGGAATTCTTCTCAAGCAATAAGGAAAAATAGAAAATAAAATTGTAACTTTGACACCCTATATATCGCAAACTATCAACTGTTGGAATCAGGTATGTTTAGGTCAATTCACATATTTTGATCTGTAGTATCTCCAATTTCGAGACTTCTCAACCTTCGCAGACCCCCTGTATACATAAGTTGTTTTCATTTGGTACGTGCTTTGTTTATCAAGAAAAACGCAGGTAAAAAAAGGTTGTGAGACCTTTTCGGGGCGCCGACGGGGATGACATCTAAACAGGCACTCATTATCGAGCGAAAAGGTGGTACGCATGGTCAGACCCGCCGGAGCTTCGTAATTAATAAAATTCCTGATAATTTTATCGGTACATGACAATTTCCTATTTCGACTTGTTCGGTTCGCCCAACATTCGTTCCGCCTGTGTGCCTCTCCGGTCCTTTGTGTTCCCGGATAGTGGAGACATGGAAAAAAATCGTCTGAATGTTCAGTTCGTTGCATTGAAACGTCTTTTATGTGTCTCGCTCTCGGTCGCCGAAAAGAGCTTTTCGAGCATGGTAAGGATGCAATGTGGGAATGGCGATAGGAAAACCATATGTTGCGGATGCGATGTTTGCGCGGATATTGGGAGAAACATATGGTCGGATCACTTGTTTTCGCTTAGAGAAACGCTCTTGTGGATTTATTTTTATAGAAAATATGTAGGTTCCACTGGTTTTTTATTGAAACATGTTTCAGAAACATGGGTATATTGTCTGCATCCTCAGCTAATTGTGGAATCCTGCATAAATAGGTCATAAAGCCATTGAAGAGATCTCGCATTACTGGGAGAGATTTTCGGACTTTCTCAGGCCCGGTTTTTCAGTTGTAGGTTGATTGTAATTTTACAGCTAACCAGAAATAAACACTTAAAATGTGTTTTTCAATGTCATCTTTGTCCTAAAACGGTAGTTACCTTTAACCAGAAGATCATCTACCAGTTGACTAGAAGGTTGTAGATACACCGCAATTCCTAACCTCTTTTGCTTGACAGTGACATGCGTTGTCGCAGATGACAGGTCCAGCGTCACAAAACACGATATTTCTGATGTAGAGGCAGCGTTGCCAGATCAACTCTAACGTGTTAATATAGCCAAAATCACGAAAGATGACTATTATATCATACCATAAATTGTACTGAAGTAATCAATGCACGTATATCGATGATAAAATCACGATGTCAGGAACATAATGACAACAAATTTATATTATGATTTTGCGAAGTTAGGTTATTTCACTGATTATTTTTATTTTCATTTTACTTCATGGTTTTGAGTGATGCTTTAATAATAATTTTAGTGGGGAGTTTTTGTTTTGAAACAAAAAACAGTTATGAGTAGAATACCTTGACAGGAATACCAAAGACCAAAGTATCATTAGAAATCAATAGGTTTAACATAAACTATTCGTCTTTCAAATATGATCGATCATGCAACATGAAAACATCGTCTATCTTGGTCGGATACATGCAAATTAGCAATACAGTTTGTTTAGACAATAAAATTCAGTTTGTCTCTGTCTAACATATCTGAAACTTCATTAAAAATATTCACAAATCGTAGTCGTTTGTCTTTACTACAGACTAAAACGATGACGTAATCGTCATCTTTCGTGATTTCGATTATATTGAAAAACGAATTGACGGACAACTAAGGGTTATTTACAAATTATAGTTACCCAAGTTGAACGTTAACCAGCGATTGAAAAACCGGGCCCAAAAAACTCAATAGGCTATTGCAAAAAAAGATTGTTCGCTTCGGACAAAGTCTTTTGTGTTTTTTGGATCTTTCCGAAAAAAAGTTCTCAGTGACTTTCCTATAAAAAGGTCATATTCAAAGCTTGAAAAGTCGGTTAAAACTAAGTATTCTTGAGGTTGTTAAGATCAAAATCTAAGCTCAAAGCTCCGAGCATTATAGGCTTGGTTGGTTGTATTGTAACTAAAGAGATCTTCGGGGTCTCATAAAAGAAGGTTTATATTCTGATTTAAAGGCTTTGCAAGCTCAAAAATGATGTTCCGTATCAGCGTCAGCGCTCTCCTGTTGTGAAGTTATGTTTTCTTTTTGAATTGTGCAATTTGATGCAAATAGATATTTGTGACATAACCTCAAAACAGAGCGCTGAGACGGAACAATAGAAAACTATGAAAATCAAGGAGGCCATGAAGGCATCCTACAAGTGTAGGAACAACTGACGATATGACCCTTAACAGAGTTTTTATCATTGAAAATGCTCAATTTCAAGAGTTTTCACACTTGAAATCGCTTATAACTCGAAAACGGTCAACTTTAGAGTAAAGTGACTTAGGATCTTTTTTGATCAGAACGATCTAGAAGACTTAAACAGCTTTATTCTAAACAAAAAAACTTTTTGTAATTAAAAAAAAATTCCAACAAATTTGCACCGACAACCCCCCTCTAACTTTTTTCTATCAAACCCTATAAGAAATAGTAGTATAAAAAGGTTCTAGGATCTGATATGAAGTTATTAATATTTTTTGCATCTCGAGAAGTGTTATCGAATAAAGCTGTATTTTTTTATATAGTTTTTGCAAAATCGTAAAAAAATTAAAAATCAATGTTTTTCCAAAACTCTTCAATACCTGCCTACCGCATTATCCGAAACTTTTCATTATGTGGAAGAAGATGATTTCAGTTACCTAAGTCCAAATTTTCATCCATTATAGAATTTTTTTCGAGGATTTGGGAAAATTTTGTATTCCCTTACAGGACCGTTCAGGGTGTCTTCAAAGTTGAGACTTTACACAACGTACAGATCGTGGACAAACGAGCAGTTTTTAACTCAAACATCAGTACTTAGTGCTGGTAAACAATACCTTTATACATCCATTCTAAAAAGAGTTGTCCATATTATTTTAATTTACGGCGAGTGTCTTCGCAATGCTACCGAGGCCTCGCGAGTTCATAAGATCGTTTTTCAAGATCTTTCGTGATTTTTTCATTTGTTGTTGTTCCTGAGAAGGCAAGTCGTAACTTCCAGGATACCCTGTATACGTATAAAACCACGAGGCGAAAAGCTAGCATTAATACATTGAGCTGTTGAACACTGTATGCCTGTAGCTGTAAATATAATAGGTATAACGTTGGTATAACTAATTACTTGAGTGTTTCTGACGGACCATTTGAGGCAGAAGATCTAATATATTAGGTTACCTGGTTAGAATCGATGCCGGAGTCATGGTGATTGATTGTATCCAAGCAGGTGGAGATTTGCGAAGTCGCGTCCTCGGCGCATGCCGGGAACACGAAACTTTGTCCGTCTGCCTCGCCGCGTGGGCTGTCGGAACTCGGCCATACCTAGAACAACAGTATCTACAATTATTTAATGTTCAAAGCATATTGCGACACCCTGTATAGTGCGTTCGGTCACAGTTTGAGATCCGTCATGGGTTGTCGAATTGTAGGTTATGTATGTTGTCAGATAGCTGTCGGTTTTGTTTATTTCTAGATCTTTTGATGTTCCGCGACTTTTGTAGAAAGAAATTTATTTTCGCTTATTACTAAGCTATACAGGGTGTGTGTCAATATTCTGTGGAACTATAAAGTACCATACCACCACCGGTGGTACGATTTGAGTAAAATTATGTATATTATTCAATTTCTGTATTCTTTTGGGGGATTCTAAATATATTTCATCCTATACCTAAGTCTAAAGGTAAAGTTCCTATAGCAGGAAACCAACTTTAGTAAATTTGATTCCGGATTTAGATAACACACAGGGTGGTCAAAAAATGAGAATGAGATTTTAAAAAACCCAAAAAAAAAACAATTTTTCTAAAAAGAAAACATTTTGTTTCAAACTCATCGCACTAAGCATTGAAAATGTGTTTGATCTTGTCTGCTTCGAAAATCAACAGTCTTCGAAATATATCGATATGCATATTCTAATATAAATCAAAACTACCGGAATCGGAACCGAATTACTCAGAATCCACCGAAATCGAAATTGAAATCATCAGAATCGGAATCGAAATCATAGAAATCTGTATTGAAACCACCAGAATCGGAATCAAAACCATCAGAACAGGAATGGAAATCATAAGAATAGGAATCGAAACCCCAGGGATCTGTCTCAAAACCTCAAAATCGAAAAATCAAAACGATCAGGAATCGAAAGCTCCTGAATGCGGAATCGAAATCATAAGAGTCGGAATCGAAACCACAGCAATCGTTTTCAAAACCGCCGGAATCTGAATCTACACCAGCAGGACCTGGATCGAAACCATGAGAATCGAAGTCGGAATATTCGGAATCTGAATCGAAACCACCGGAATGCGGAATCGCAATCATCAGAATCTGGATCGAAGCCACAGAAATGTATATTATTCATTTTTTGTATTCTTCTCTGAATCGGAATGTCCAGAATCGGGATCGAAACCACCTGAATGCGGAATCGAAATCATAACAGTCGGAATCGAAACCACACCAATCTGTCTCAAAACCGCCGGAATCTGAATCTAAACCAGCAGGACCTGGATCGAAACCATGAGAATCGAAGTCGGAATATCCAGAATCGGTATCGAAACCACCGTAATGCCGAGTCGTAATCATCAGAATCTGAATCAAAGCCACAGACACGTATATTATTCAATTTCTGTATTCTTCTCGAAATTGGAATGCCCAGAATCGTAATCGAAACCACCGGAATGCGAAATCGAAATCATAAGAGTCGGAATCGAAACCACAGCAATCTGTCTCAAAACCGCCGGAATCTGAATCTAAACCATCAGGACCTGGATCGAAGCAATGAGAATCGAAGTCGGAATATCCAGAATCTGAATCTAAACTACCGGAATGTGGAATGCCACAGGAATGTATATGAGTCAATTTCTGTATTCTTCTCGGAATCGGAATGTTCAGGATCGGAATCGAAACCACCGGAATGAGGAATCGAAATCATAAGAGTCGGAATCGAAACTACAGCAATCTGTCTCAAAACCGCCGCAATCTGAATATAAACCAGCAGGACCTGGATCGAAACCATGAGAATCAAAGTCTGAATATCCAGAATCTGAATCGAAACCACCGGAATGCGGAATCGCAATCATCAGAATTTGAATCGAAGCCACAGGAATGTATATTATTCAATTTCTGTATTCTTTGAGGGATTCTAAATACACTTCATCCTAGACCTGAGACTAACCGATTTTGAGGTGTCTCAAATTTTCCAAATGCTGGCCAATGTATTACAACATCTTTTTCTCACATTTATCTTTGCCATATGATTTGTAACGGGTTTCGTATAGCAGGGAACCTACTTTAGTAGATTTGATTCCGGAACAAACACCACAGGGTGGTTAAAAAATGAGATTTTAAAAAACCGCAAACATCAAATTTTCCAAATAGAAATCACATTTTGTTTCAAATTCATCGTGCTAAGCATTGAAAATGTGTTTAATCTCGTTTATAGTTGTCTGCTTCGCAACTCGCAACAGTTTTCGAAATAGTTATATGGAATGAATGCTCCATACGTTTTTTACCACATAACAATCTCAGTTAGCCATGACGTGGCGATAGCGTGACATTCAAGAAGACTAGAGATAGGAGGGCAAACTCATAGAGGGAGGAAGAAGTATGTCCACTGCGCAGTCATTGAATTGCACGTTCTGCGCATTTGGTATCTCGCTCTGTTGATGTGATCATGAATCATGACTGTAAACCACGAAGACGCTCTCCGCCTTGTTCTACGAACACTAAATTTCCGAGGATCACGTCCTCCTTATCGACAGAATTGACTTCATATACGAATATGTGTATGCCATACGCGGTTTAACCTCCTACGTATAGTCTTAGTGGTTTTTCTCTTGCTTAAATGCTCCATACGGCTTTTACTGCATGCTCATCTCAGTTGGCCATGAAACGGCGATAGCGTTCCATTACATGGCCAACTTGCATTATCTTGTAGTAAAAGCCTTATCGAGCGTTTATGCAATAGAAAAACCGTTAACCTCTTATCTTTCGAATACCATTGCTTTGCGAAGTAGATAAACTTATACAAAATTAACCTTGTTTTCAATGCTTCTCTCATTGCAAAACGAATGTTTCTACAAGCACCGGAGAAAAGGCTCATAATACCATCCATATGATATGATACCTTAAGACATTGCAAGGACGGTTATACTAGCATAACTCGGTGAATTTTGTATTCATATATGTAGATTACTCCAGTGCATTGGCGGGCCTTGACGTCACAGAAATTTAGAGCAACTCGTGTCTCTGAGAAAATGGGGATATATCCGAAATTAACTTCACATCAATAAAATTCTCGTCAACCCTGACTCAAATAACTTTCTATGTAGAAGTTATGGAATATTGAAAAAGGACATCGTCGGGATTCAGGACGAGAAGGCAGAGGCGGAACATGAGCTTGTTATAGGGTTCTAGGAAATAATCAACTATTTCTTAGAAAACTAGTTCTATATCATTGTACCAACAAACAATCGATCTAGTTCTTAATTGAACAGATCATACACATAACGAAATTACTACAAATAGAACTGATTTCGTAACTAGCAGTTTTCTGTTCCTACACATTCTGTACTGATTCCGAACTGGTTCTGAAATGGTTCTGGTTCTGAGAGAGAACCAAAAGTTCGACTTGTTAGCACATGCGCGTTTACAGAATTTAGCAGAAAGCCGTTTTCCATAAGATAACTGCGGTGGCCTTTACGTTTCTTTGTCAAAAACCTACTTCAAATTAGAACATATTGTATTTATATTAGTAGCATTTACGTAGAATTAAATTTTTTCATTAAAAATATAATACTGAGAACATTTAATGACAAATAAACATAAATTCAACAATCGCCCATACTCCAAACTCCATTACCCCGGAATCGGAAACCACAAGAATCGGAATCAAAAGTTCTGGAATTGGAATCAAAAACGTCAGAATCGGAGTCGATACCTCAGGAATCTGAATCAAAACTACCAGAATCGGAATCGAAATTATCAGAATCGAAATCGGAACCACACGAATTGGCATCAAAATCATCAGAATCGGAATCGAAACAGCAGGGATCTGAATCAAAACTACCGGAGTTGGGATCAAAATTATCAGACTCGGAATCGTATACGGTACATCCGGAATCGGAATTTAAACCATCAGAATTGGAATTGAAATGATCAGAATCGGGATCGATACGACAGGAATCTGAATCGAAACTATCTGAATCGAAATTTTCAGAACTTGGACTCGGAATCAAATCGTAAGAATCGGAATCGAAGCAGAAATCTGAATCTAAAATACCGGATTCGGAATCAAAACAATCGCGAATCTGAATCGAAACTACTGGAACCGGAATCAAAATCGGAATCGAGACCACATGAATCTAGATTAAAACTGCCGGAATCGAAATCGAAATCATCACACCCGGATTCAAAACCACAGGTATCGGAAAGTCCGGAATCAGAATCGGAACCACTGGAATCGGTATGAAAATCATCAGAATCGGAATCGCAAGAACATGACTCGCAACTACCGGATTCGGAATCGAAATCATTAGAGTCGTAGTCGAAACCACAGGAGCCGGGATGGGAACGCCCAGAGTCGGCATCGAAACCACCGGAATCGGAATCAAAATAATCAGAGTCGGAATGGAAACTAAAGGAATCTGAATAGAAACTACCGGAATCGGAATAAAAAAAAATCGAGAATCTGAATCGAAACTACCGGAATCGAACTTTTCAGAATGCGGAATCGGAATCAAAATCGTAAGAATCGTAATCGAAACAACAGGAATCTGAATCGAAAATACCGGAATCGGAATCAAAACAATCGAGAATCTGAATCGAAACTACTGGAACCGGAATCAAAATCATCAAAATCGGAATCGAGACCACATGCATCTGGATTAAAACTGCCGGAATCGAAATCGAAACCATCATTACCGGATTCAAAACCACAGGTATCGGAAAGTCCGGAATCAGAATCGGAACGACCGGAATCGGTATGGAAACCACAGGAATCTGACTCGCAACTACCGGATTCGCAGTCGAAACTACAGGAGCCGCGATTGGAACGCCCAGATTCGGAATCGAAACCATCAGAATCGGAATGGAAACCGGAGGAATCTGAATAGAAACTACCGGAATCGGAATCTAAATCATGAGAATCGGAATTGAAACCACAGGAATCGGAACGCCCATCGAAACCGGTTCCTTCGATTCCAACTGCGGACCGACCCTGCCTTATTATGAACTAACAACAAAGTTGAGTGAGATATGCAGAGTGAAACTACTTCACTTCACCATCTGTGTCAGTCGATCCCTTGGATTGCTAGTTTCGCATTGCATTG